GTGGCACCTGCTGGGACAGTCTTGGCACCCTGTGCTGGCCCAGCTGTGCTGCTCCCAGGGTGGGCCCAAGCAGGGATGCTGCCCCATGCTCAGCTATGGGGTGCTGCTGAACCTTGTCCTGTAAGAAGAGTAAATGTGATGGCTGCTCAAAGCAGAATCTCACTTCATTTCTCATTTTAGTAGATTTAAAAATATGCTACATGCAAGTTTTGAAAAACTATAGTTTTGAAAAAGTGTTTTCTTTCATCTGTTTGTGGAAATTTATTTTCAATTGTGCAAATTACAGTCTTAAGTAAAATCATGGAAGCAACAATTCTCTTTGTATGTTAAATAATCAGAGAATGAGAAAAGAAATAACGAAGGATGGCACATTTCTTGTTCTGTTTACCTTCCATTTACAGTATTGATTCTTAAAATATTTATGCTTAGTTCATGAAACAGTTCCTTTTACATTCCTGAAAAAAAAGTAAATTATTTCACTTTAACAAAAGTATTATTTTGATATCATGTGTAATTTATAGACATTAATACATACTGCAGAAATATTGTAGTGTACTTATAATGCATTCATAGAGCTTAAGGCACAAATGTGTCATTAATTCATCTAGTCTAAACATGCTGATCATTACATTTCACAGATTTTCCCCTCTATTTATCCATGCAATTTAAGTTTCTTTAAGGATAGCTACAGATTTTATTTCATTTTTCCCATACCAAGCAGCAGCACATCCACTAATTCCCCTAACACTTTTTAGTTTTCCGCCTAAAGAAACACAGAAAAACTAATTTCTGAGTTAAGAAAAACACTTTCATTTCCTCAGCCAGGTCTGCACTAAATATGTTTAAATGTGACCTCTAGAAGTCAAAAATTTGCTCTGTAGCTTGCAAAAATAGTTATGCAGGCAGTAATTATTCCTTGCAATTTCCCTTCTCTTTCTTCTATTAAATCAATATTTCTGTTTTCATATGACCCAGAGCCCTTTTGGGAAGAGCATCTGCACAGCTCAGACATCCATGCTAGCCCTGGTGTTCTCTTGCAGCCTTTCCTTGGCCACTTCCCTCCGCTGTGTTGGACTCAAACTCTGTTCAAGACTTCTTTTTTCTGCAGTTAATCCCTTCTCCAATTGTTTATTGTCTCCAAACTCATGCTAAAATTATAACTTCCAAACAATAACTTGGTTCTGAAGAATGCAAAATCTGGATAATGCTTGGGCTGCTGTGGTTTTAGGAGTGTCTTAGTATGGCAATTGTCTTATTGGGAAGATTTACATTGCTAAGTGCAGAAAGTCATTCACTCTGTACTCTGGGTTAGCATTTCATAGCCCATGTGCTTTGCAAAGGCATTTATTCATGTATCTGTTTATTTGGGTGTCACTCAAAGTCTCAACTGGAGAGTCAGAGATGGTGGACATAATCTATGATCATGTGAATTAATTGTAGGCAAGTTGCCATTTGATCTTTTCCACAGATTTTAAATCTTTTTTCTGATTTTTCTCTGTATTCTCTCCATGTTTTCCAATCTCCTTTCAGAAAATGTCAGTGGCAGATCTTAAAGAACAAGTCTAATAATATCTGTTTTGGCAGTACCTTGTAGAATGATAAATTCATCTCTCAAGTACTGTTTACTAGTGTGCATCTAAGTATTTAGGGTTGTTTTAACCCTTTTTCTTTCAGCATCCCAGCTGTAATTCATACTGAATTGTCATTCACACTGGTCTCTAAACTGGTTTGGGAATTGCTTCATTCCAAGGGGAAAAGAAATCCTTTGCAATGTAAATGAGGCCTGACTTCCTTGTTCTCATAAATACAACTTAGCAGTGACTGTGTATTTAAAAAAAAATCATCTAAATATTGACCATTGTACAATCTCTTGAAACTCTGTGCCATTGACCATTTTTAACCACTTTTGTCTTTGTGTCATGCTTAGACCTCTCAGCTATTACATATTTGTCCCATCAAAATTTAGTGGATCTGATACTGTGGGAGCTTTGCAACCCATCTAGAAGCTCCCCTTTCTGATGTTGGTGCCCTTCTGACAGTTTCTTTTTTATCTGCCTGATGGCAAATTTTTAATTCATTTAATTTGCCCTGCAGTTTCTTTTTTATATCTCTGGCACAAGGAGGAGATAAGAAGTGTAACAGGGAACTGGAGAGCATCCACCTACACCCATCCTTCTGGTTTTTTACAGTTTCTGCCTGTGATGTTAATGTCTTTATTATGACTCCCTTCAACTCCCTATTGTTTCATAGCCCAAGTGAACTTCTATCATTTCATTCCCCTGGCCAAGCTGCCTGCTTTCCTTTATACCTTCTAAACTCAGCTTAGATTTTTAGAGATAAACTGATGGTTGCTTCAAGGTACAGGCACACCATAGATTTATGCACTGACATCCCACTGCTTTCTGGTTTGTTCTTTATTCCTTTTCTAATCTCTTTTAACATCCTATTTTCTGTTTTGACTGCTACTAAACATTCAGTTGATATGTTCAAAGAACTATCTGCAATGACTTTAAGTTCATTTTCTTGAGTGGTAATTGCTAATTTAGAACCTATCATTGTGTATTTGTAGTTAGTTGTGGTGTGTTTTTATTTTTTTCTTGTGCACATTGCCTTCAGTTCATTGTCATTGAATTTCATTCTCTTATTTTATTGCCAAGTCACTCTGTATTGTGAGATCCTTTGCAGTCAGTCTTAATTTTAATTGCCCTACATAAACCAAGGATGTTATCTCACCACAGCCTGGAACTAGGTTAATTTCACAAAATCTATTTTCCATATACTTTTTCTCTTCTTTAGCATAGATTTTGGGTTTTTTTCCCCTTCTATTTATATTTAACCCCTACCAAAAAAAA